GGGAGGTGGGGGGGCCACAGAGAACTCTGGGATCTAATCCCCAAGTTGGGCACCCCAGCAGAGAGCACAACTGAGGAGGGTACCCACATAATATCTGACTGTGAAAATCAACAGAGTTGCTGTCTGCCAGGGAGTGATGGCTGAAAATTAAGCCACACTCTGAAGTGGTAACACACAAAATTCTCAGTGGAACCACCCACCTTGTGCTCTGGCAGAGGGAGAGTGGAGTGCACTGACGCTCTGTGAGCAGAAGCCAGGATTGGGGACTCAGAAGGTAGAGCTCACAAGGCATACACCCCCAGTTTCCTGGGCTGAGTCATTTCCTCACGCAGTAGAGGGCATCTTTCCCACATAGACATTTGCCTTGCCTGCGGGGAAGGCAGTTGACCTTATTGGAAAACACCTTGCCCTGAGGCCACTTGGGAGACTAAAAAAATAACAATTTGCCTCCAGGCAGAAGACATTGCCCCACCCTGTTGAAGAATACTCTCCCCACAACTCAGGACCATTGCCTGGGGGAACAATTCAAGTCAGAATCATATCAGTGTGTAGGTAGAGGCAGTCTCTGGAGACTTTGAGTCTTTGCCTGATCTAATTAGTTAGAAACAGTGTTTGACACTGTCCTGCACTAGAGTTTCAGAGGCATAGAGGATCTACCTCAGTGGTTGGCAAACTGTGGCTCAAAAGCCACATGCAGCTCTTTGGCCGCTTGAGTGTGGCTCTTCCACAAAATACTGACTTCTGCACATGGGAAATGAAGTTTCAATCACACTGTACATTCGCACCTGCACGTGGTATTTTGTGGAAGAGCCACACTCAAGGGGCCAAAGAGCACATGTGGCTTGTGAGCCGCAGTTTGCTGACCACTGATCTACCTGGTACATAGTCACAAACCCAAACAGATAGCCAAAATGAGGAGACAAAGAAACAACCCTCAAATGAAATAAGTGAATTCTCAAGAAAAAAGAGAGAAATGAAGCAGAGATAAGAAATTTATCTGTAACAAAGTTCAGAGTATGATGTCAAAGATGATCAACAGCATGAAAAAAGATATAGCAACTATGAAAAAAGAACAGTTGGAAATAAATAATTACATAACACTAATAAACTACACATTGGAAGGAATACACTGCAGATTAGGAGAAACTGAGGATCAAATCAGTGAATTAGAAGACAGAATTGAAAATATCACTCAATCAGAGAACCAAAAAGAAAAACCAATAAAAACAAACAAACAGAATAATACCTTAAGGGAGCTGTGGTACAACATGAAATATAACAATAGTAAAATACCAGGTGTGCCAAAGGGGCAGAAAGGGAGAAATGGATAGGGAGCTTGTTTGAAGACATAATGGCAGAAAACTTCCCTCACCTGGTAAAGGAAAAAGTCACACAAGTTTAAGAGGCACCGAGCACCCCAAAGAAAAAGAACCCAAACAGACTGTGACACAGACACCTCATAATTAAAATGCCAAAAATTAAAGACAAAGAGAGAATCTAAAAGGCAGCAAAAGTAAACTGTTAACTAAAAAGGAGTTAACAGTTCCCATGAAGCAGACACCTGATTTCTCATCAGAAACTATACCCCCTCAGAAGGGAATGGCATGAAGTACTCAAGGTAATGAAAATCAAGGATCTGAAACCAAGAATACCATATCCAGCAAGTCTATCATTCAAAACAGACGGTCAAATAAAGAGATTACCAGACCAAAAAAAAAGAAAGAAAAAAAAAAGGCTAAGGTGTACATCACCATCAAGCCAGCATTACTAGAAATGCTAAAAGGGCAAAAGGCCTAAACAGACACTTTTCCAAAGTAGACCTACAGAAGGCCCAGAGACATATGAAACCATGATCAAAGTGACTAATCATCTGAAAGATGAAAATCAAAATGACAATGAGGTACCATCTCACACCTGTGAGAATGGCTATCATCAATAAATCAATAAATGACAAGTGCTGGCTAGGATGTAGACAAAAGGAACCCTGGGGCACTGCTGGTGGGAATGCAGACTGGTGCAACGACTGTGGAAAACAAGATGGAGTTTCCTCAAAATATTAAAAATAGAACTGTTTGACCCAGTAATTGCACTTCTAGGAATATGTACCAAAAAATCAGAAACACCAATCAGAAAGAATATATGCACCTCTATGTTCATAGCAGCAAAATTTACAATAGCTAAGAATTTGAAACAGCCTAAGTGCCCATCAGCAAATGAGTGGATTAAAAAAAGTGGCACATCTATATGATGAAATACTACGCTGCTGTAAAAATGAAAGAATTCTTACCATTTGCAACAGTATGGATGGACCTGGAGAGCATGATACTAAGCAAAATAAGCCATTTGGAGAACAAAAATAGATCCATAGACATAGAAGCATCAAACAGACCGGCAAACCTCAGAGGAAAGGTGGGTGGGGCATAAAAGATCAAGCAAAGGACTTGTATGCATGCATAGAAGCATAGGTAATGGGCACAAAAAGGAGGAGGGTGGGGGCATGTGCTGGGGGTGGGAGTAGCGAGGAAAAGTTCAATGAGGGAAAAAGGAGATATATGTAATATTTTGAACAATAAAGAATTTAAATTTTAAAAAATTGCTAAAGAGACTCCTGTAAATGAGAAGAAGAAACAGAGAGAGAAACCTAGGCATACAGAATGAAAATGGCAATAAATAGCTACCTAGCAATAATAACCCCAAATGTAAATTGATTAAATGCTCCAATCAAAAGGCATAGGGTAGCAGAATGGATACAAAAACATGACACAACTATATGCTATCTACAAGAGACCCACCTCAGAACAAAAGACACACACAGGATGAGAGTGAAGGAATGGAATAAATTTTTCCATGCGAATGGAAAAGAAAAATGCTGAAGTAGCAATAACCCTATCCAACAAAATACTTAAAAATGAAGGCCATCACAAGAGACAACAAATGTCACTGCACAATACCAAAGGGATCGGTCCAAAAAGGGCATATAACCCTGTTAAACATATATGCACCCAATATAGGAGCACCTAAAAACATAAAAATACTTCTGGAGGACTTAAAAAAGATATTGACAATAATACAGTCATAGAACGAGACTTCAACACCCCACTGACTTCACTGGATAGATCTTCCATATAAAAATTTAACAAGGAGCCCAGCCCGCGTGGCTCAGTGGTTGAGTGTCAACCTATTAACCAGGAGGTCAGGATTCGATTCCCAGTCAGGGCACATGCCCGGGTTGTGGCCTCAATCCCCAATGTGAGGCATGCAGGAGGCAGCCAATCCATGATTCTCTCTTATCATTGATACTTCTATCTAGCTCTCCCTCTCCCTTCTATTCTAAAATCAATAAACTACTTTTTAAAAAAGAAATAAACAATAATAAAATCCCTTCTAGAAAAAAGATTACAGTGGATTTGAAAAATAGCACTCACCTAGTGATGTCATACCCATTACAATGTCATAGGGAAATGCATTACTCAGATGTTTATGATAATGCTGGTGTAAACAAGCTTCCTATGCTGCCAGTCCTATGAAAGTCCAGCACATACAGTTACAGTCACTACATAGAATACTTGATGATGAGAAATTGGTTTATGTATTTGCTATACTATCCTCTTTATCTTTGTGTGCTTTCTACTTAGTGACAGAAAACTTTGCTGTGAAGCAGTATGCTGTTTATGCGGGCAGCAGCCTCAGAGGTCTGGTGTTGACTGTGCCTTTTGATTGCATCATTGCCTCCTGGGCTTGATGAATCTGTTTTTTGTGAATTTCCTGGCCTAAGTGTACAGTGTGATAAAGTCTACAGTCGTGCACAGTAACGTCCTAGGCCTTCATATTCACTCACCGATCACTGACTCCTGCAGAGCAGCCTCCAGTCCTGCAGCCCATTCAGGGTCAGTGCCCACACGGATGTACCATTTCCTACCTTGCACACCACATTTTTACTGCACCTTTTCATAACTGCTTCCTACCACTGCATCACAATTGCCTACAGCATTCAGTACAGTAGCATGTTGTACAGGTTTGTTGCCTAGGACCCACAGGCTACACCATATGGCCTAGGTGTGTAGCAGGCTACACCCTGCAGGTTTGTAAGAGAACTGAAAACAACAAAACTGCCTCCAGATGTCCTCCCCAGGTTCAGGGGTGCAGGACTGTAGGTAACTGCAGTTTCACCTCTCCCAGGACTAAAATTTTAACCCAGTCACTGCAACTCGCTGTTCCACACTAATCTGTCTAAAGACTCCTGCTGTTCCTTCCCCTAAGGAAGGGTGACCCTGCCTGAAGCAATCCCCTCTTTTCTTTCAATAATAACCTCTCAAAGCCACTTCCTTTCTGCCTGTTGTACAGACCCTCAGATTCTATTTACTAGAGGAGATGCGGCCGGATTAGGGAATGGGGAATCAAGCCAGTCAGACCTTCCAAATTATTCAGCTGAATTTTGTTTTTAACCGTTTCAAAAGCACCACAAAACAAATAGCTGATAAAGATGCTGTGACTCAGAGAAGGAAGATGGCGGTTAGGATTCGGGGGAGAGCCTGGAAGTGCAGGCATTTGCTGCAGAGCTAGGCCTGGGGGACAGGGGGTGGACTTGAGAGCCTGCTCCACAAACATCTAAACTCAGGAGAAAATGGGATCCTTCTGGGGAGAAAGGAGGGACAGGGGGCCCCACAGACCACAGCTCCTCCCATGCACGAACCGCGGGGACCGAGTCACCATTGTCCCCATGACCCTCCCCGTGGTCCCCGCACCGACTGCGGAGCCGCGGGGATGAGGGTGCAGAGCTGCCCAGACGCGCTCCGCAGCCCAAGGCCCTGCCGCGGGGACACACTGGACGCCCGGCTCCCGGCTGGGCCCCACCCTGCGAGCCCGAGGGGCCTGCAGTTTCAGCGGAGCCCCCGGCGCCTCGGGTCCGCAGGCTCCGGACCTGACCGTGGAGAGACGGTCCCGCCACCGCGGCTCCACCCGCCCCTCCTCCCGGTCCCCGCGCCCGGCCGCACACTCACCATTTCTGGTTCCTGGGCCTCCCGAGTCCCGCCTGCAGCTCCCACCGCCTTACAGATCGCAGATGAGGACAGAACAAGGGAGATGAGACCCCAATGCAGCTGAAGCAAAGGAACAGCCGTAGTGGCAGAAAGTAGTCCTACCTGTCCGCTCCCACCTCTACTCATAGGACGCACGCTTTGCACGACTTCGCCCCCTAGCCCCTGAGGTGCACAGGCCTGAGCCCAAAGCAGCCAGATCCCTGCCCAGGGACCTTTGCATTGAGAGGCAGCGCTGAGAGTCCCCAGGGAAGAGTGGTCCTTCCTTGCAAACACACACACTGAAAAGGCACCTAAGGAATCTGGCTCCATTTTCATCTTTGTTGACAGCTGGAGTCTGACGTGTGTGGATTTACAAAAAGGTGCACAGGCTCAGGGAGCAGGGATGCCTTAGGGTGATATCCTTCCAGAACTACAGCCAGATTCCCCAAAAAGATCATTGAATCCAGAAACAAGCCATCATTTCCAGCACGAAAAGTGACTTCTGTGCATTTAGAATGGTTAACTTTAGAAAATGTGTTTCACATGAAAACATGTGTTCCCACAGGTGATTCAGTCACGCTCCTCTGAGGACATGAGCCACCCATTACTTGTGGTTGTTTTGTGGGCAGTTCCACAGACCTACCCAGAGCAAGGAGATGGGCCAGGGACAGAGGTCACCAGGGTGGAGAGCCCAGGTACCTAGCAATGGGCAACCAATTGTAGGGTGGGGCCTTGTCCCCAGGGTGACTTTTCCTCCTCTAGCAGATCTCTGGTCCTGCGGTTTGAACCCCCTGATCTTCCTCCCTAGAGATAACATCTATGTCTCATTGTATTTAGCCCCAGGCCCAGATAAGCAGCAATGCCAGGGCTGACATCAGGACCAGCTACATTGAATAATGACCCCTGTCCTAGTGCCGGCCAATCCATCAGTGGAGGCCACATCCCTGAATGGACACACCTGGAAAGCTACAGAATATTCCATTCAGCTCTTCCCCTGGGACCTCCCCTGAAATCTCCACCCTTAAAGCCTTTAGGAAGGAGGACCCAGTGTGCTCTCCCTCCCTGGAGCACACCTGTACCTTTCCCTCCATCCCCTTCTCCTCCTCCCCCAGGCAGGTTACCATTAGCTTGCACTCCCAAGCTCTAAGGGCGCTTCGTTACCTCCTTAACTCATTTTCTAAGCCCATTTCTTCCAAGAATTACTTCTCACACCCCTGTAATTTAACAGTAAATGTTCTCTTACAATTTGGGTCTTGCTCTGAATTCTTTTCTACCAAAACCCAAATACCCAGGCTGCTGAACTCACATTTGGTCTGAGCGCAATCAGACACCTGGTGCCATTCCTGCTGCCACCACCGTTCCACGGTTTAATCCAGCAATAATGAAATTTAACTGAAAATTGGTTCCCATAAATGTAAATACTATAGAGTATTTTTATGAGTTCATGTCAGGAAGCAAAGTGTCAATGAATTGAGATAATGTCCGGAGTATGGCAGTTTGGTGCTTTATTTTATACATTACAATCAAAAGAGAAGACTCAAGTGGGTTACATGAAATCCACTGGTGATAGATTAGGGAGCTGGAAGAAAGTAAAGCAGGGTACCCGGGGGGTACGATGAAAAGTAAAATGATAGACATACATATATATTTTACATAGGTGGGTACAAAGTAGGTAATAGTTAATGATTAACATAATAACAATGAGAGGAGATATGGTCTCATTTCTTCTGCATTGGTTGAGCACTGAAAGGTCCGAAATAGGGGGAGTTACCCTGACAATGCCAAGATATGTAACCATATATGGGAAAGACAATGGACAAGCATAGGGAAAGGAAAGACTGCGTTTGTTAGGGAGATTCTACTCTGGAACATGACTACCTATCATAAACTGCCTCTAGTTAAAATATTTTCATTTCAGACCATCTCTTGTGGTTATTTTAGGTCTTTTAATTTGCAAGGCCATCACACACAGGCCTTCCCTGAACGTGGCAGGTTAGCATGTGGACTCTTTTCATCCCCAATCTCAATAATAATCCCCCTGATTGGTGAGTCTGTGATACTAGCATAACATTCATTCTAACCATGATGGAAGCACTCCCTGCCAGGCATCCTCTCCATAGAGAATGCACAGCTTTCTGGCTCTGACCATTGCCTCTCTCCAGTCCCTGAGGAAATGCTCAAACAGCCCCACCCAAACTGCAGCAATAACCCCATCAAGCCTGGGACACAGAAGAACCTGGAGGCCATCTGACACAGGCAGCCTGAGGGCAGAGCCACAGAACCACAGGTGACCTCAACGGAGAGAGAAAAGGAGGGCACACGTTTCACCCAGGACTCAGCTTACCAGGAGGACCACACGGGGAGGAGCAGCATCAATCACCATACACAGCAGGAAAAAAAGGTCTGTGGGTATTCACCATGAAGAACTGAGATGGAGAATATACTTGCATTTCATCACCTTTTTTTCACCTTCCTTTTCACAGCTATCTCAAAAACAATAGTCTCGGGGCATTTTTTCTAGAAATCATTCTGATTTTCTAGTTTGGAATACCTCTGGTTTTTTGTTTTGTTTTTGCTCTCATCTCAACCTCAAATAAATGACCTCCTACTAAGAATTCGAGTTCACTGGGGAAGATGCCCATGTTTGGTCTCTTCTCTCACATGGCTGAACTTCAGGAACCTGCTGCTGCAGAAATTACATCCCATCCCTGCCCTTCCACACCCTGCTGGTACTTGCACCTGTGGGAATCGTATAGTTCCAGCTGTGACCCCATCTGGGTAGAGAATGCTCCACTTCTCACATCAAAGCTGGTCGCTTTGCTGAGGCCAATTCATGCTGCTCACCTGGCAAACACAAGGGCCAGAATAGACTTAGTGCTGCTGCATCCACCTGCACCATGGAAACCATGAGGTCACAAGACTCACCCTACAAGATGGTCTTTTCAGTCAAAGAGCTCCACTGAAAAGGCACAAGGAGTTCCTTGTATGTACAGAGAGATTTCCCCCGTAGCCTTGGCATATGGCTCTAATGGAAAGCGTTACACAAGGTTCAAGCAGCTGCTCTGTGGGAGGGTCACTGAGATAACGTGACAGCTGGTCAACCCATGAGCTGGGCGATGAGATTCCTTCCTCCCACCCTTGTCCTTGGGATATATGTTCTGCCCATGGATGGAGAACTAAAGCCATTTAAAGGACACAGCTTTGAGAGACCAATGTGTTGCTGACCCCACCTGAACTGTGTACATGACCCAGTGAAGGCGATTAGGTAAACTTTGAATTATCTGGTGGGCAGAGTGGAGGTTTACTCCTCTTCTGTCCACCCAAGACCACCCTGGTATAGAAATTCCTTTATTTATTAAAACTGCCACTTAACCCTGACCAGTTAGGCTCAGTGGATGGAGCGTCGGCCTGTGGACTGAAGGGTCCCAGGTTCGATTCTGGTCAAGGGCATGTGCCTTGGTTGTGGGCACATCCCAAGTGGGGGGTGTGCAGGAGGCAGCTGATCGATGTTTCTCTCTCATGGATGTTTCTAACTCTCTATCCCTCTCCCTTCCTCTCTGTAAAAAACGAATAAAATATGTATATATTTTTTTAAAAACTGCCACTTAAAACTCAGGAGTGGCCCAGCTGGCATGGTTCAGTGGTTGAATGTTAACCCATAAATCAGAAGTACAGTATGGGTAATACAACATTTTCCATCATCAATTGTTTATTTTAAGATCAAGTGTCAAAAACTAAAGCTGAGATTGAAAAGTGTGCCTGAGGAAACACTTCTAGCTTATCCTTGAACAAAGGGGGCTAGTTTCCTTATAGAGAGCAATAGAGTTTATTTCTTTTCAATCTTTTCAGTGTTCATGCAAAAGGACACCATGTAAAGTATACTGTTCTCTCTCCACAGATGTTTTGAAATATGCTTTTCCTCTCTCGTTCATTTAAAAACAAATCCTGCTCTAATTATCATGTCCATGATTCTGTGCCACCAGCAGACGTGATGGAGAAGAGATCCCTGGAGAGCTGCTGCGACTGACCCTAACCCAGCCATCCCTGCTCTGAAATGGGACCCAATGAACAGCAAGATTAGTCACCCTCCAGGCAATCATGCCACAGGATGCCTTGGCAAATAGTTGACCTCATCTGCACATTTTTACAATTTTTAGGCCATTGCCAATGGTCTGGCTGTCTAGCACCAAGAGCAACAACTCCTAATCGAAGATCACCCTTTGGGATAAAGCACTCTGGAATAACTTTACTCATAATTACTCAAAAAGAAGGGAATGCCACACATCTCTGCACGGGGGACAAATGAAACCGCAGGGCTTCATTTCCATCATAGCCAGAAAAATTAGTGCAAGTTTCTGAAACACAATGACACTTCAGTTGCACTCAGAAGTAGAGAGAAAAACAGGGGTGAGGGAACCCGAGGTTGTAGTATCAAGACAGCGAGGTGTCCCTGTGCTTCATGGGAGGATGTAATAGGGTTGTTAATATTTCTGTGCACAGACATGGAAATGACACCCACTACACTGTAGGCTGAGAAGACTGCAATACTATTCTGTAAAATTATGCTATACGAAACCCTGTAAAATAAATTATATGTTTATTATATAACTTTTCTAATGATCCAAAATATATGCTAAGATATCTTACTGTACTATATATTACCAACATTATAAAATATACTAAATACACCACATTCTACATACATACATACATACACAGATGCATATAGATACACACTATCCTATATAATAAAAGGCTAATATGCAAATAGACCAAACAGGGAACAGCCGGTCTTTATGACATGCACTGATAACCAGGGGGAGACACTCAATGCAGAAGCTGCTCCCTGGTGGTCAGTGTGCTCCCACAGGTGGAGTGCTGCTCAGCCAGAAGCTGGGCTCATGGCTGGTGAGCCCAGCAGTGGTGGCAGGAGCCTCTCCCACCTCCACAGCAGGGAGACATCCCCTGAGGGCTCCCGAATTGTGAGAGGGCGCAGGACGGGCTGAGGGACACACACACACCGCCCTCCCCCCCCCCAGGTTCACAAATTTTGTGCACCGGGCCTCTAGTACATAGTAATTTTTCTCTAGATAATCTATAATAAAAGCATAATAAGCTAATTAGACTGGGTGGAAAAACGACCTTCCAGACGTAGCCGGGGCTGCAAGGGTCAAGACCCTTGCATGAACTCCATGCACTGGGCCGCTAGTACATTATAATATAATACACAGAGACCAGTTTTTTTAAATTCATTTCAGAGAAGGGAGAGGGAGAGAGAGATAGAAACATCAATGATGAGAGAGAATAACTGATCAGCTATCTCTTGTACACCCTCAACTGGGAACTGAGCCCACAATCCAGACATGTGTCCTTGATTAGAATCAAACCTGGGTCCTAGCTGGTTTTGGTCAATGGATAGAGTGTCGGCCTGTGGACTGAAAGGTCCCAGGTTTGATTCCGACCCAGGGCACAT